GAAACCGACCGACTCTTCTCTTCGCGGTTCCTCCTACTACCTTTTCGTGACTGCGACTACGAGACCCTGACCATTCTTCTCGGCAAACCTGTTTCGCGTGTCTGTGTTATTAGTATCCATGCGCGCGATATACTATGCTTCCTTTGTGTTACCCTCACGGCTGGACGGTTTATTGTTGCACTCGGAGCAACTCCGTGACTTCGGCATAGTTTTTTCTTCCTCATTCAGCCGTCTCTCGCGTTACGATTATTTTCTTTCTTTTCCTCTGTGTTTTACTTTGCATTAGCATAATAGTTCTCTACGCGAGATGTTCAAGTGTTATGCAAAAATTTATTTTTTGTACGCATACAAAATAATAGACAAAAATTCGATAAAATATTAATATACAAGTGTAACTGCTTGCACAAAAGGTTCCAATAATTTGCATGTTTTTGAGCGTTTTATGCAAAAAAAAAAAAAGGTGTTCGTGACGCATCAGAAACGCAAATCTATTTCCATCAATGGTCAATGGGTTTAAAAAAAAAAAAAACAAGATGTATAACCTCGATTAAAAATGTCTAAATTTGTGCGCGCTAATCTTTTTAGAATCACGCTTTTATTTATTAATAGAATGGGATAAATATATTAGATTTTTTTTTGTAGCTACAATAGCTTTGAAACCCCCAAAAATATCTTGAATTTCATAAAAAAGTGCACAATACTACAGAACTGTTCGTCTATTACACATCGTTTATTTATTATTGAAATAGAGTTACTATGCGCGATGCGCACTTTAAAGTGCATAGTCGACTATAGATAACGTTATCGCAGCATTTTGTCAACCACTAACTTACGATACAAGTATTACTGCAACCGGTATAATATCGAAGTGCATTTAAGAAGGTTTCGAGGTCGTCCCCTTGTTTTCAAGAAGTATCGTTGATAACGGTTGACCAATTTTCAAAGTAAAACTGATTAAAGTCGAATCGTATCGGCAAAGAATATTGCGTACAAGTCACTTATTATGAAACGAGAGTGCAACGTTACGCCGTAGACTTAATTTCATGTAAATACGGCGCCTCCTCTCGCAGGTGCTGCAACTCCTGTTACACAACTGTGGATTGAGTTTATTCTATAGAAACTGACTGGATTACTCATTCACTACGCTCGTAGTAAACTGGAGTCTGTATGGAGTGAAACTGACATAATGTTTGCTGTTGTGGATTCCGAGGTCGTTCAATGATATCATTGATGTCGTCACCGCACGTTTACCATTTCAAGTATATTTATGTTCTTTTGATTCTATGCCTTTCTTGTCGACTCTTAATCCAGACATAATAAGAGATGATAAGAATATTTCGAACTATAAATCTAATCTTTCATAATTTATCAAAATTTTCGAGAAGAGTCAAAGTAAAATATAGATAGACAGTATGCTAAAGTTAAACATTGACGTTTTCACAATATAGTATTGTGTCTCATTTATCAAATGTGACTTCTGCCGTATCTTTCAGGAAGACTGGAAAGATAATATAAGGATGATTGCATAGCTAATTTTGGATAAAATTGATTGCAAAGCATAGAATTATATTTCGCACGCGTACATCGTTTTAATCGTTTTCTATTAAATGACGCGTATATGTACTTAGAAATGGATCGTGTTTATCATATAATACGTTTGTCAACACAAGATATTTATTAACCTCTTTTCTATTCACTGTGTGCTATATAAATAATCGATGTAACATGAATAATTTATTCGTATTTATGAAACGGCAATATTGGAAAATTATGAAAAATTAAATTGTATAATTTTCAGCGTTCTCTAACGCTTCCACTCTTGTATACACATAAAAACGACGATGAAAGAATAATTCGAATATAAAAATAAATTATAAGGGTGAAATTTGATCTGTAAATCAAGATATTTCATTTCGGCAGCTTTCAATGCTACGGACATGTAAAATTGGCCTTTGCTCACGATGATTAGCTTGTGCTAACAATTGTACAAAGTACAATTCTTCGTGTTCGACAGCATCGAACACTCGGCTCAAATAGTACTGGTTTCAATATTTTCTAACTATATTGATATTGCAATAAGAATCAAGTCATCTTACCGAAATACACTGGCTTGTCGCACTTTGGACAATTCGGCATCTCGTTATGTGTCGTGAAGAATCGGCTTCTACTCCAACGAGATTGTCTGTCTAACAGAAGGATGCTCTCAGCAGCGTGGTCAGACGCGTACTGGCCCTGAGAGCTTGGCAAGGTAACGCAACACTCTCCAGTTGATTGAGCGCGTGAACGTGTGTTAAGACTAACGGCTGTACGAATACACGAGAGCCTGACCACGATCGCGTGTGTTTAAGCATCGTGCAAATCGTTACCTGCTCATCGTTATATAATGTACGAACATTTATCGGGTCTGCATATATGTATGCACGGAAAGAACAATTTGGAAATATCTAAAAATTTAGTTAAATACAAATTTGAAAATAATATTGTTACACTAACAACATAATAATAATGCAGGACTCTCAAATATAATGGATAATAACGCAAAAAGTTTTGACATTCTAGCAGCCGGCTTGTGTGAGTGTTCAATATAATTATTTTGATGATCGAACAAAATCATTTTCAGATCTATATCTACCTCCTCCTAATTTTTAGATAGTAAACTCTTTTTGCGCATTTTATTTAAATCCGCATTTTAATTAAAATTTGTTTCAATAGAAAATATTGAAATATAAATAATTTTTGATTAAAGATCTACTAAGAGAAACTTTAAATTAATAAAAATCAAATTGGTAAATAAAAAGAAAGCAGAAGAGAGAGAAGTGGAGAATTTAGGACACCTTGTACGTGTACAGATATTCGAGCAATAACGGAGAGGCTCGAGGCTTGAGGCTTCGTTCAATACGTTCGCTTACTTTCTTCGGTTGAAGTAATCCCGTTAGCTATTGTTTAACAAATTCGTTATCAAAATTGCGCGACGCAAAGGTTCACGAATATCCAGATCGATAGTTTGATTATGCACGAATAACGGAGCTGTTCGAAGTATCGAACGACGGAATGCACTCGCTTCGAAGGTATTTACTCATAAAACTGCAACGCGATACCCGCGAAATTAATTAATTATCGGAATTTGGGTCGGGGAGATACGCCGTGCAACGCCAGAGCGTAGCCAGAGGGCGATGTGGGAAATGCCGCTGTAAATTTTGGAATTTATTTTAACGAGATTATACAAATATCTGGTCGAGAGTTATTCGCTGTCGTTCAAAAATTCAACTGCAGTCTTTACTTTTTATAATGTGTACATATATATATATATATGTGTGTGTGTGTGTGTGTGTGTGTACATATTATATGGACGCTCTAACAGAAAACGAAATTTTTATCCGCTAATAACAGCTGCGAGAGCAGAAAACGTTGAAAATCCGAAAATATGTTGTAATTATAAGTTAATTAGTTATTAACAAACTACGGAATTTTATTGTAATATCATGTTAATTTACATTAATAATTTCTACCAAAGCTATCGATGCAAATTAAGGTGATATTTAAATAAAATCATATCAAAATAAAAAACACTAATCACATCCTTTACCACATCCGGCTGAGGTGATTAGATTTTCGTTAATTACGCGCATTGTGCGTGTTCAGTTTCTCACAAGCATTAGGGAGTCTTGGACCAATCGATTCATGCCGTTGACGCGAAAGAACGGAAAAATCATGCAAGAATACGATCATTATCATATCGGGCTCATATTAGCGATCGAGAATGGGGAATTTGATAAGGCGAATGAAATTTTAACGAGTGATAGCGAAAATAGATACGTGCGTCCTGTGGGTACCCTTCAAGTGACAGCCCTGCAGATAGCTGCGTGGCAGGGCAATGTAGATCTGTTGAATCGGCTCTACAAGAAAGGCGCTGACATAAACAGCATAGATAAAATTGGCAGATGTGCCCTTTATTACGCCGCACACAATGGCAATACTGACGTGACAAAGTGGCTCCTTCAACACGGAGGTTACACCGATGTCAAAGTCGGTATCTATTTGTGTACTAAGGACATCCCATATTCTTCGCTGACAGAATCCTATCTGATGGGAAAGAAAGTTCGTACCGCGAAAATAATTCGCAAATTTGCACTGCAGTGAATTCTCTAAAAGTTTTAGAGTGAATTGTCACTCTGAAGAATGAAATTTTATTCTTTAAGGCTGAAAATTGAGGCTACTTTTTTTCAAGACTGACTTAATTTTCACTCTTTCGAGTGAGATTTCGGTCTAAAGAAATTATGTTTTCGACGTTTCAGCTGCCGTTACCCGTATGCTGGGGAAGAACGCCATTGCACGAGGCGGTAAAAAATAATCACGCAGACGTCGTGCGCGTTTTGGTGGAAGGCGGTGCGGATGTAAACGTTAAAGACGAGCGTCTGATTACCCCGTTGCTCTTAGCAGGAAGCGCGCTGAATCGCGATGATCTCAATGAGATGACTAAGTTCGTCGAGATCGTTAGGATCCTGGTCGACGCAAAGGTGTTGGTTGACATTATTCATCCGGATACAGGTATTAGTCAATCGATAGAGCGTTATGCAATATTGATAGAACCGTAATGTATCATCGTTGCGGTTTATACTTGCTAAGACTGTTATTTTTAACAACTACGAAGCTTCGAAGCTTCGAAAAGTGTATTTGTGCGAATAGAGGAAAATGAAAATATATTCGAAAATATATTTGTACATTTTTCAATGAAAAAAATATATTCGTTACTATTAAATATATTAAATTAATAATTGTATCATTTAGATTCTTCAAAGCTTCGAAGATTGAAATATTAAAGAGAAAATTTTGCAAAAAATTTCCAAGTTCGAATGTCGAAGCCTTCGAAGTAAGCCATCTCAGTATATACCTTATTTATACCTGATCGCAGATCCGTCACTATTAAAAGAAGTCTAAAGAATGTTATTTACATATTATTTGTAAGACAATATAAATATGATTACGCTATCAATTCTGCTAGGTACTACTGCTTTGCATCATGCGGCGATGTTAGGCAGTGCAGACGCGACGAAGATATTACTGTTAAATGGTGCATGGCCAACATACAAATGCAAGAGCTCCGGAAGCACGCCTCTTCATATCGTCGCGAGTACAGGGAGTATTGAGACACTAATGGTTCTACTTGAAGCAATGCAATGTCATAATATTGATATTGATACGCGCGATCAGGTTAACTATGTTAGACACTGTAGTTCGAGAATAACAAATGCAAGATGAAATTGTAAATTATTCTTACATACGTAGATCAATCGTACAGCTCTTCATAGAGCGTCTTATCAGGGCCATCGTGAATGTGTACAAGCTTTAATCAGTCATGGAGCTAATTTAGCCGCGGTGACGAAGACTGGTGTCACCGCTGTTGATGCTATATTCGCTCATATTTCGCGACCATTGACCTTTTTAACAGATATCTTGGATTCTTGCATACGAACGACCAATAATTCTCCTTTGGAAAAATATGAGAATGTAAGGATCTCTTTATTTCTCCCATTAAAGATACAAATATCCTATTTCTTATACTACTACTACTACTACTACTACTACTTTTACCAAATTCTAATGAATGGAATGTCTGTTAAAGATCACGGTCGATTTCGGTATATTGGCTCCAAAGTACCAGATGCAAATGGCAGTGGTCACGGCCATTATAGCTGCAGCTTCGGATATAAAACAACTGGCAATATTACAGCATCCACTTGTCGAGACATTTCTCAGACTAAAGTGGGCGAGATTAAGGATACTTTTCTTTCTTCTCATACTTGTACACTTTCTCTTCGTTATTTCTCTCTCAGTCTACGCCATAATATTCGCACATAATGACGCTGACCACATGGTGACTCGAAGAATCCTAGCGATTTGTTCTTGCATTCTTTTGTTCCACAATATGATTCAAGTTGTATTAGAACCCAAGTAAATACGCTTCCGAATAATGAAAATTTGAATTTTTCATTGATTTTTACTTGACATATATTCTTAAACGTTCCAGACATTATTTGAGACAACTTGAGACGTGGCTGTCGCTTGTATGCGCCATGCTATCCTTAGTGACATCGATAGCGGGCGAGTTTGTAAAGTGTTCAAAGGAAGAAATAAAGTCTCGGCATTGCATGCATTGGGTGTTACATTCCATCAGCATCGCAATCTTGTTGAGTTGGATGCAAATGATGTTATTAATTGGTCGAGTTCCAATGTGGGGATATTACGCACTCATGTTTTCTACCGTGTTGAAGAATATTCTAAAGGTTAGCCGAAGTAATTAATGTATCGGTTTTTTTTTTAGACTAAATTTTTTTACACTAAATTATTACAATTTACACATTTTATAAAAATTCAATTGCAAAGTACAAAAATACAATTAGCATTTTAAAAATTCTCCGCCCTATAAATCCATTCTTCCGTTTAATGCAATAATAACTTTAAACCTTCGTCACACTTCATGAGAATGTTACGTCACATGTGGGGTAAAATGACTACAATATTGTAATTGATTGTCGTATTTACAGCTTTTGTTCTTTAAAATCACAAAAATTACTAAACACACTTTAAATCAGCGTGCATCCGCTCGACTATTATGACGAAGAAAAGATAGCTCAGCGTAAAGCTCATGGCTCGTACAAAAATGTAAGATAGTCAGAGAAACGTAAGGTTATTGCCTTAGGTTCTCTACTTTGGCTAATTTATAACAATACCTATTCTCTAAAATCTTTGGAGTAAAATCTAATTCTAAAGAATGACAAAGAATGGACTTTCACTTTTAGAAATTGAGTCATTCTTTTTCAAAACTGGCTCATTTGTCACAATTGAAAAGCCAGTTGAAAAAGAATGACTCAAATTCTAAGAATGAAATTTCACTCTTTAGAATTAGATTCCATTCCAAAAATTTTAGAAAGTATTATCAGATACCTTGTATATAAATAAAAAATTTGATGCACAACGAGAACTGTATAACTCGGATCACTATCAAAATTATTTTTCTGCATGTTCATTAATTTCAAGATTTTCTCATTCATTATCAAACAAGTGATTCTCGCACTTCTTACGACGAATTCTTTAACTACATATGTGAGCATATAAATATAAACAAACACATAAATATAAATCAGAACTTTAAAAATAGTGTCAATAGATATCACACGAAAATTTATTTTACGCACCACTTTTGCTATTATTATATAACGATGTACATTTAACTTTTTAG